CACTCCTGGTACGTGCGTCGCTCTCAGAGAGAGGAGACGTCCGCAGCTCCATAAGATCAGTTTGCGTGCCAGCATGTGTAACTGGAGAGAACGCAAACCCCCTTGGCGGTTTATATACGATATTGTGGTCGTGTTGTCTGTCCTCATGATGTCCTCTGAGAAAAGGCAGAAAGAGTTTCAGGGTGAGGAACACCGCTAAAAGCTCCAGATAATTTATGTGTGACCATTGGAGGTCTCTGGAGGGTGGACCACCTTCCGCGATAGGACAGCACCCATAGGCACGCCACGTACTAGAAAAGTCGGGTGCAGCCAGTGGCGCAGTGCCATTACGCATTTCATAGTGACCATCACTCTCCGCGCGCCATGACGCACGGGGTCCAGTCTGAGGGCAGCTACCCAGCGCTGAAACTCCCTCATGTGCAAGCGTCCCAGTCGTACCACCAGGATGGCTGACGCCATGAGCCCCAGTAACCGCAGACATGATCTGAAGAGAACATATTTGCGTGGCTGGAAATGAGCGAGGCAAGCCCTGAAGGCTTTCACTCTCTCTGCTGACAGGCGGGCTGTAAAGGGCACCAAATTCAGGCGTAGGCCCAGGAAGAGTACAGTCTGGGCTGGGGACAACATGCTCTTTTCTGTGTTTATTACGAAACCCAGGTCGAGCAGGTGTTTTACGAGGACATTAGTCTGCGTAATAGCCTCTTGCTCCAACTGTGCGAGAAGGAGCCAATCGTCCAGATAAGTTGCCAGGCGAATACCCTGTTGTCTTAACGGGGCTATCGCGGCTTCCATACACCGTACAAACACTCGTGGGCTGAGAGACAGACCAAGGGAAGTACTCTGTACTCGTAACAGACACCCTGAAAGGCGGACCTCAGATATTTCCTGTGTAGATAATATACTGGGATGTGGAAATACGTGTCTTTCAGGTCGACTGATGTGAACCAATCGTTTTGGCGCACGAGACACAACAGAGATGTGTGAGTGAGCATTCTGAATTTGTATCTTTTGAGATATTTGTTCAGAGCCCTCAAATCTAATATAGGCCGAATTCCGTTCCCTCCCCGTTTGGGAACGAGGAAATACTTGGAATAAAAGCCGCTCTGACTCTGTTCGGAGGGTATTATAGATATAGCCTGCTTGTCTAGTAGCGAGAGGATCTCTTGCTCTAAAATATGGGCTGACTCTCCCCGGGCTTGCGAATGCAGAATGCCCGAAAAGTGAGGGGGCGTGACAGCGAATTGGAGTCTGTAACCCCGTGTTATTGTCTTGAAAACCCAAGCAGAATCTGTGAGCATCCTCCACTTTTCGCTTCTCAAAGCGAGTGGAGATGTCACATCCCTGTCGTCTGCCCTCTTTTATTGACTGCGCCCTTGGCTTTAAGCCTGGAAACGACAGTGGAAAATGATTTATTAAAAGACAATAGTGATGACATGTGTTTGTGTGACTTAAACGAGCAGTGGAGCTTGCTGTCGTTGATGTTAAGTCCATTTCCCTCATGGCGCGAACTTGAGGATGACGTTCTGACATCACTCGAGGCGGCGGAAAGATGGGGGCATGGTTGCACCCCGGAAACACATGAGCATCTAACACTGGAATGTGTTCTGGAGCTGGAGAACAGGGAACTTCCAGCTCCTTTATCGAGGAGAGGAGAGGAGGCTGTCAGGCCGCCCGCTTCTTCTTCCTCGCCTGGTGGCTGAAAGTTTAGGCCGGCTGTGCCTGAGCGGCTGCTGCCGGAACCGGAGACTTTCTTGGCCAGCTCGTCCTCGCCTCGTGTCTTCTTCGAAGCTAGAGCGGAGCCAAATATGCCCTCGGGAACAATAGGCATGTCCAAGACGTCCTCTTTTTCCCGGTCTGGAAGGTTCGTCAGGGTAAGCCACCTGGCTCTCTCCTGTACCACCATTATCCCCAGTGCTTTGCCCGTGGCTTGGACTGCACAGCGCTGCACACGGAGGCAAATGTCCGTGATCGCTGCGATTTCGTCCCACACGGCAGGCTCAGGTTTGATCGTCATGTCCTCGCAGAGCTCCGCCTGGTAGGCTGTCAGCAGCGAGGAGACGTTGAGCGCCCTGGCGGACAAAGCTGCGGCTTTATAGGCTCTTTCGGTCATTGCTGACTGGAAGCGGTCTGCCTTTGCCGGTAGCGTGGGGTACCCTCGGTACCGAAGCCAGCCGCGGTTGGAGGTGGGCTGCCACCAGCGGTTCCATGGGCGGCATGCGGAGCAGGCCGAGCTTCTCCATGCCGACACAGTCCAAAGAGGAGGCACCCTGGATTCGGGCCTTGTTGCTGAAAGGGCGGTCTCTCCACGAGACCGACACCTCGTCCAGCATCTCTGGAAAGACTGGGAGAAGCTGCTTCTTCATCCTCGCTGCTTGGGGCAAGTTCTTCCCCTCATAGCGAGATCTGGAGGTCTCCTTGGCCACTTCAGGCCAGGGGATGTCCAGCCTGGACGCAGCGCGTTGGCACACGGTCTGCAAGTCCATACTGAGGCAGGGCGAAGCTGGTGTGCTTTCGCCCGGGGGAGCGGACATCGCCTCCGGCTTGGCAGCCTGGGCAGATGAAACGAAGATGTCATCTGAGTCGGATAAGAGGAACTCAGAGGCATCCTCTTCATCCTCCTCCATATAATCCAGCTGTAGGACATCCTCCGCGGGTGGAACCACGGTGAGGTCCAGTTGGGAGCCCCAGCTTGACACAGCACGGGGCTCCGCTCTCGCGGCTCCAGCCGCCACCGGGCCCCAGCCTGACACGGCGCGGGGCTCCGATTGCCGTGGCTACCGCCATTGTTGAGCCCCTTTCTGACACAGCGCGGGGCTCAATCTCCGTGGCGGTCGCCACCATGTCCCGATTGCCGGCCGGCGAATCAACGGACATGAAGGGGTCCCGTCCCGACAGGCTAGCTTGGCGCGCTAGCCGTCAGCGGAGGCTCTTGATGGTGAAGCGGGCACAATGCCCGCACAAACCGGGGGTATCAATAGCTTCCTGGGCGTGTTCCAGCCGAAGGCAGGACGAGCAGACCTGGTGTGAGTCCGTGCCGAGATCCTAAACCCGCAGCCGCAGAGCCGAGCCTCCGAGCCTCTGACTCCTCTGGTGTGAGGGAGGGAAGGGTCCATCCTCGTTTGCCGGGGTGTCGGCACGGAGGGACAAGCTAGTAACAGGTATGTTACCGAAAAAAATCCAACCTTATCGTTATTCCGAAAGGAAAAAACGACGGGGTAGATTTTTCTTTAAAAAATATTAACTGGTGTGTTAATATCTTTCTTATCTCCGTCTCCTCTGGTGTGAGGGAGAGAAGAGTCCGTCCCCGCTCACCGTGGTGTTAGCAACAGGTATGTTACTGTTTGAAGAAAAAAATCAAACCTTACCGTTATTTCGAAAGAAAAAACGGCGGGGCAGATTACAATATTAACTGGTGTGTTAATATTTGTTCAATTCTTCTGCAAAGCAAAAAAGTAACCGGCAAGCTTCTTCTGCATGACGATGCTGGGGGGAATCTCCTCCTCGGGTCTAGGGTAGGTCGGCCCGCTGGAACGGCAGGTGGTCGGGACTCTTCTGTCATACTCCGCCGGGGAAGCGAGAGGTGATCCTCCGCGAGGGCGACAGCTGCCTCCAAGCTGGCGGGCCGGTGGCACTGGACCCAATCCGCCATTGACGATGGCAGGCCGGTGCCAAACTGCTCCAGCGCTACCTGCTCCACGACGTCCTCAGCGGAGTGCATCCCCAGCTGAAGCCAGAGCCTTGCCGCATCGAGGAGCTGCTGCTCGTAGAAGGGCCGGCCAGCGTCCTCGAAGGGGAGGGCTCTGAACCCTTTTCCGAAAACTTCCGGGGCTTGAGCCCAAGTAGCCACTCCCTAGCGGCTACTGCCGTACTTGCCTTGAACTGTTATTGATAAGGTTAATCTTGCCCCCCTCCGACGTAAGCGTGAAGTATTGGTTCTTGGTTCTTGCCGGGCAGCCGAGTGCGGTCAGCTAAGAGCCGGGTTTCGGTGCTTAGAGCCGGCTCCGCTGCGGTGGAAACAGGAAGAACCGGAGCTTAATCAGGCTCTAGCCCGGAACCGGCCCTAAAACCGGTTTGGTGGAAAAGGGGCTGTCACACCCCCCGGACTCTGCAAACCACGTAGATGTTACGCTACATTGCAAACGCATTAGGCACACCCAAGTGGGGACACACGCATGTGATTGGCTTAAAATGAAGCAGACATCTGATTGGCCGAAGACACTCGCCTCTTAAAAAAATGTATGTGTGAATCTAGCGGTGTCAGGGGAGTCTCAAAAATCAAGATCAAGATTCAAACACAGAAAGCGTTTTTTAAATAAATGTAACACTCAAATATGTTTTTGATGTAACTATTTGTGTGTGGATCAGAAATATATTTGTGAGACTTTTTTACATTTATAAAATGATAGGTTTTTGTGTGTGCATTGAAAAATATGTGTGTGGATGGAAACATTTATATATAAATCCGGAATTACATTTGTGTATCCTTCTGTGTGCATTTATTTATCTTTGAGACTGATCTGACCCCATATGATGTTCCACAATATCAGGAAGCCTTCTTTCAAATCATGCAAATATTTATTTTATGTGCTTGTTTTCTGTCTGTTAGAAGAGTTTCAGAATAACTGTCAGCTTGTTGGTCTACTAAACAGCATTCAAATACAGCTTTAGTCACATCCTTGTTTATGTTACAGTGTACTATTTTTGTGAAAACAGTGTACGTAAGTAATTTTATTTTATATATGTTATATATATAAATTGTATCCCTATGTATTAGATTCCCATATTTACTTCTGTATTTTTTCTTTATATTTAATTGAGCATTGCTGGTTGGGGCCTAAGAACTAACGTTTAATTGCCAATCACTGTTATTGCTGTGCACATTGCAATAAAAAAGAGAATCAAGCGGAGTTTTCTAAATATTTCGGTCACAATGATCCACTGGCTGTTTCAACACCAGCTTTGCAAATAAACTCTTTATTTTTCTGCTTCTGTCACCTTCCTGTAAACCCAGAGTTACATTTACTAAAAGTCGGCTCACATCCTGACATATGACATGTATACAGCTAGCATCATGGAGAAACACCTGGAAGCAAATTACGTCTAATATTGAAGGAGTGGGAGCTGTAATCCATTGTGGGACACTCTTCATTGTTCACCTGAATCTGGCCTAAATATAGAGCAATATTTGTATACATCTTCTTTTCCGCAAAAACTAGAAGTTCCCCATTAACAGGCTAGCAGTTGAATTACCTGACCACACAATGAATCTCAATCAACCAACCCAAAATAAGAAATGTAGGATTTTTGTAAAACATATTGTGGTATTTGATATCATCTTTTGCCCTATTTTGGACGGATCCGATGGTTTTATTAATGATATCTTCCAATTCCTCAGTGTGGTGTTGTAGTGAAAGCTGTTATAAATAGATGGCATGGAGGGAAACTAGAGTCAGAGCAGACGGCTCAGAGGATCATATCACTCTGACCTCCTATTGTATGCTGTACAGGTAACAATTTAAGATTTAAAAACTGGTAATATGTAATATCTGATTATGGACAATGTTTCTGTTGTAAGGATTTTCACTCTCGCAGGGGTAAATGAGACAATGAATATCAGAATGGCTATCTTTTCACTAGCTTTACTGTATTACTGTGTGATATTGTTTCTCAATATCTCTCTCATCCTGATCATCATCTTAGATGAAAACATGCATGAACCCATGTACATCTTATTGTGCAGTTTTTGCATTAATGGACTTTATGGGCCCACAGGTTTCTTCCCTAAATTCCTCTTAGATCTGCTGACTTCTTCTCAACAAATCTCATATGAAGGATGCCTTTTGCAGGCTTTTGTCATGTACTCGTTTGCTTGCTGTGATTTATCCATTTTAGCAGTCATGGCTTACGACAGATATATGGCTATATGTCGACCACTACACTACCACTCTGTCATGTCAAAGAGGAGGCTCTCTCAGCTCATATGTTTCTCCTGGCTAACACCTTTCTGCGTTTTCTCTGTTAGTCTTCTGCTAACCTCCAGACTAAAGCTGTGTAGTTTCAAAATTCAGAAACTCTTTTGTGTTAACTGGATAATTGTTAAACTTGCTTGCTCTGATGTTGACACCTCTTCCAGTGAGATTCTTTCATATACAACCATAGTCATTTATGTGTCTCATGGGTTTTTTTACAATATGGACTTATATGCATATTATAAAATCTTGTTCAAGGTCCAAAGAAGACAGGGTAAAGTTTATGCAGACATGTGTTCCTCACCTGACCTCTTTAATCACATTCCTTGTTGTAATAATATTTGATTTGATGTATATGCGTTTTGGCTCCACAGATATACGTCAAAGCCTTCAGAACTTTATTGCTATTGAATTTCTGCTGATTCCTCCTGTGATTAATCCTCTAATATATGGATTCAAACTGACCAAAATACGAAACAGAATTTTAGGTTTATTGCATTTCGAAAGAAAATAAGCTTTTCTATTCAATTTCAACTCTGATTTCTTCCTATTATTATTAGTTTTAACGGGGATAATACAGATAAACATTGTTTGATAGGAATGAGCAAAACATCAGATAACGTTTATACATAGTGCATCTAATCAAAGCTAATATGGTGCCCCTTCTCCTGGTTGTGCAATTACATTTAATGTAATAATGACTCAATTTCTCAATATATGCTTACTAACAAAATTGTAAATATTCAATTTTGCTCACTTTATTTGTATGTATTGTAACATGAATGAATTGTGATTATTCTGCTCTTATTTGTAATGCAATTATGTTTTGTGAGACAGAAATTTGCTCTACAGCATCACACAAATAATATATTTAAATTTTTGACCGGACAAGTTCTTATGTAATAATATCGAAGATTGTCATTGAAGCACATTTCTGTCTTTTGCTGAATGAGGGAACACAATGGTGATTGATGATATTGCCCAGTGATGAAGGCCCTTTTTAGTTTGCAGTATTACTGACTGTTTCTGTGACCACCTCGTTGGAGGACTTAGCCCTTACATCTGAATATTTAGAGTTCATATTTCAATTAATGCAAATAGTCCAGTAAAGCTACACCTTAAACATTTATGTGCAACCTCTGAACAAAACATCCAGATTGCTCTTAACCTGTTCTACATGTATAGATCTCTTTATACTTTGTGTCCTTTTCATACCTTTAAACTGCATGGCCTGTTTTTACTCCGATGTATTTCTGTAACACTTTGGTCAGGGGACTTCAGATGAAAAATGCAGTTTGGCTTATTCTGGCATTTTATATACAATGTGTGATTATACATTTGCAGTGTACCTTCACAAATTAGCTAAACTAAATAATTTATTTTGTGTAATCTGACCTTTTCTTAGGATGTAAGAAGATTCAGATCTTGGTTGATATAAATAACTTGTGAATTCATTGAAATGTTCCTTACATCATACTGTAACTGTGTCCTGATAGAAATGAGGAAATGTTTGTCCGTTTGTCAAAACTCATCTCCACTGATAGTGACTCACTTGCTGTCAGTGTCTCGGGTCATCCTCCCCTGCTGGGGCCAGGCTCCTCATTAGTAAGCTGCCCAGCAGAGCCCCAGCTGCAGCCCCGACAGCTGACTTGGGACCTGTGTTCACCCTGGAGGAGCCGGCCAGGGCCCCGACTGCAGCTCCCAGCGCAGCCGCTCCGGCCCTCAGCCACGATGGAGTCAAGTCAGCCTGAAGCTGCAACGCTTGGTTATCTTCGTCTCTCTATGGACCCAGAATCACAATCACTGTATCAAATAAACCATACCACCATCCCCACATTCAGCAAATCCAGTGGATGGTATCTGGAAGTACAGCTTATATATAGTCATTAAATATCAATATGTTTTTAACCAAATAAAGCACCATTGAAATTGTCATGATATTGTATGGTTGGCCATTGATATTTGCACAATGAACATTTTGATAATTGATGTCATATGAACTAACAGAGGGGCAAAGGCTAACAATAGAAAAAAGCTGGTAAATTTAGAAAACAACATTACTTTACTGTTATGCAGCATGCAAAACCATGTACAAATCAACACTTCAGTACGGAGCCCTGGAGGGTTCATAGAGAGAAACATAAATAAAAAGAGGCCACGTTTTATTAATTAGTGCGCACGAGATGTAATTCGTGGCCTCAATTAAAATAAAACGAGGCCACGTTTTATTAATTTGTGCGCACGGTATGTAATTTGTGGCCTCAATTTAAATTAAACGAGGCCACGCTTTATTAATTTGTGCACACGATATACTTTCTCATTCGTACAAGATACTTTCTTATGGTTAGAGACATCGAACTGTCCGATTATTACGCCATATTATTAGTTTTATGAAGAAGATGTCCGGTCGCCAGGGCGTGTTTGTGTGTGTGTGTGTGTGTGTGTGTGTGTGGTGTGTGTGTGTGTGTGTGTGTGTGTGTGTGTGTGTGTGTGTGTGTGTGTGTGTGTGTGGTGTGTGTGTGTGTGTGTGTGTGTGGGTGTGTGTGTGTGTGTGTGTGTGTGTGTGTGTGTGTGTGTGTGTGTGTGTGTGTAGGCCTTTGTGTGGGCATTTGTTTTCAGAAGATATTATGATAGTGGCGTTCGTTCCGGTGCACTCCGACAGCATTTAGCACTAGCCTACATCGAGATTAAACACATTTCTTTCACTTGGGAATATACTATGGAGTTAGCCAGACAGGCCCGGACTGGCCATCGGGAGGACCGGGAGGTTTCCCGATGGCCTGGCCTGTTAAGTGGCCGGCTGGCTTGAGGAATTTTTGTATGTATTGTGAACACAACGCTGCGCAAATGTGGGTCTGACTTTGCCTCACAGAGGGTGACTGGCTGTCTACATGATGTGGCCCGCCGACATGGCCACTTTCATACAGATCATACACTAATGCCCTCGATTGGTCTCGTGTCATTCAAGCTCGGGAGGGTGTGTATGTGTGGCGCGAGCAAGCGAGAGAGAAAGCGCGTGCACTGGTTACGTGTATTGTTGTTGTTAGCATCCGGTGCTAGCTAGCGGCGCTAACGGAATGAGCTGTCAACAAGGTGGAGGAGAGTCCTCTCCTGTCAGACTGAGAGACTGATAACTATAGCTCAGGTGAGGTAAAGGACTCTCTGAGTGTTTAGATAGTTAACTTAGTCTAAGTTATCTCTGTGGGTCTCAAACGGTTTGGTCACCATTTATGTAAACACATATTTCCATTTGAAGGGGGAGTGATTAGTAAAATATGCATGAATAATAATTTAAAAAAAGTTAACTAGGTGAAAAAAGGTAAGATAAACTTTAAAACTTGTTGAGAGCTAATAGTCTTTGCTGCTGCCTCAAAGAGGAGCAGGGGGAGACGGGTGAGGCTGGTTCAGGAGCCCAGACACACTCACAACTATAAATGAACCAAAAACAAATAAATAAACAAGTTTCAATGTTTTTTCATATTGGATATGGTATGTTATTGGTTATGGCCATGTTCTTATGATTTTATGATTATTTAAATGTATACAGTTATGTTTCATATGGGTGTAGTCTCTTTATTTCCCCCTCAAAGTGCACCAGATTGATGCATTTAAGTCCAACATTTAAAAAACAAAAAATCTTCCGCGGGGAGCATGCCCCCGGACCCCCCTAGAGGATTTGAGGTCCACCTCCACTTAAAATATGTTCACATGGATAGGTTCCTAAATAGATTTGCACTTTAAAAAAAAAATAGTAACCCATGTCCATATGTTTATTCTGGGGTAGTAGATTTAAAGTTTATGGCTATCACTACGGGCAGCAACGCTGTAAATATTGACAAATAAATCCAGGAAAATTACACAAAATAAAACTGGTAGTGGCCTGGCTGGGTGTATAATTCCCGGCCTGACTTATTGTCCCAGTCCGGCCCTGTAGCCAGATGTGTGTAAATTACTGTTCATGGTCATTTGAAAACAAATGCCGGTGTCGGACACACACATACACCGAACACACACACACACATCATGTAGCATTTCACGTTTCCATAGCAACAACAACAACTTCCTGTCAACAGCGTAAACTTCAAAATAAAAGTATCTAAATAAAACAGAAAGTTAACCTAAATTACATTTAAGACATATACAACTGCAACAAAATTAACAAAAACAATGTCATATCCTTTTCAGTTTCACAGAACACAAATTGGGTTATTTACACATCATGCGGTCACATCGTGACCAGACATCTCCTTCATAAAACGAGTAATAGGGGGAACAATTGGGCAGTTCGATGTGTGTAGAAGTGTGTGTGCGTGTGCGTGTGCATGTGTGTGGCTAAAACGTAGCAGCCTCTATTCAGTTGTTCTGAAGGTAAACACAGTGAAGGCGCTGCTTAAAAGACACAGCTCAGATAGCAGATACTGTGAGAGTCACGGACATGAATTCATAGATCAAGGCAGACTGGTTCACAGACTCTCCTGTTTTGCGAATCCGGTGCTTAAACAAATAGCTCTACACCTCTGGCCGAAATGTCCCTAAAATGAAGTCAGAGTTTGAAATATATCTCAAATATTGTATGCACTGTCATTTTCCCACATAAACATAACTCTCGTGCGCACGAAAAAGTATCTTGTGCAAACAAGAAAGTATATCGTGCGCACAAATTAATAAAACGTTGCCTTGTTTTATTTATTTTTCTCTCTATGAACCCTCCAGGACTCGGTATTTCAGATATAGAATCTATAATAAATAAATAACATACATAAATAAATAATATCAATATATTACCTTACAGCTGATTAAAATGTGTACTTATTATTATTTTGTGAGTTTTCTGGCTGTATTGGGACAACTGATTATTGATTTTGTATATTTAAGGCTCTGGTATTTTCAGTTTTTAACAGTTTGAACTTAATTTTACGATTGTAAATAAAGATATTCAAGATCTGCAGAGCTTCTATCATGAGTCGTGACATTCGCTGTATACATTCACACAGAAGAGACGTCTCTGTGATGTGCAGTGGGAGGAAAATCCAGATCAAACTAGAATGACTGGCAGGAGGGGGGGGGCAGACTGTGTTTACATCAGTGGTGCTCTAAGGTGATGGATTGTGTCCCTCAGGTTGAGTATTTCATATTAAAATGCAGGCCTTATAATTTGCCCAGAGTATTCCCCATTGTTTTTGCATTGCTGTTATTTACATTCCCCCCGATTACATTTGTTTTTAAATCACACTCGTGTTTTTATCTGGTCTTGTTTTTCGAGATAGACAGACAACAGTAGACAACCCTGCACTTTGTTACAAAACTCTGTTGGAGAATGACAATACATGATCCTTTAAAACTAACGTCTGCAGTTGAAAAATTACAATTTGGCTTTGTGACATTACTTTAGAGACATTTTATAGAGTTTTCTTATGTTGCTCCCTGGTAGACCACCACACACAGAAACTGGAAGACGCCTGATGTGCAATAACCATGTCTGTAAAATTGTAAAAAATCTGCAGTAGACCTATACCCTCCTGCAATTTCATGTTTATAATTACTTTTTTTTTCTTAGTTTATTTACAATTGGCATACAGTACCAGCAACCTCTTCAGTTCAATATGGTCACTTTTATCCTAAAAACAAATATACTGCTACTTTTTTACCCTGTTGTACTTATCTGCTTTTTTGTTCATGTTTTTTTTACTTCTTTTGTTATTAATAACGTGTGCTACTTAATAATTGTTTTAAATGTAAGTCTTATCTCCTCACTTCACCTGCTGTTGTAATAATTGTCATGTCCACGTTGCTGGACAAATAAAGGATTTCTGATTCTGATTAATAACTATTTTGCAAAAATGTGAAAATCAGACTGCTTTTTTTTTTACCTTCTCAGGCGGCATGGTGTCTTTTTCCAGCTCTTCCAGACTGTTCTGTTCTCCTTCTGTAACATAAAGAGTTTGATGAAATGTACTTACATAACCACATCAGTATCCTCATTATTTCACAATCTGCGCTGTGAATAAGGTTGTACTCACTGGGTTTATCAGTGTCTCCGTGAGGGCTCAATGGCATCGTGTACGTCCTTTTCTGTTGTCGACCAAGCTCATTAAGTGACTTGAGATCCGTCATTGTTTGCCTGTAGTGGTTCCTGTTGTTAAATTGCTCAGTTTTAGGCTCATATGTTCTGTCTGTAGTTTCTTTTATCTGATAGTGTCTCTGCATCCCTTCAAGTGTGGCCTTCAACACCTCCTTTGTGTTTTCATTGTCTTTCTGCAGCTGTTCAATTAGCTCTTCAAGCTCTTTCGTTTGTCTTTTGTGATTCCTCATCATTTGATCCAACTCTTGATCTTTCTCCTCATAGTTTTTCTTAAAGGCTGCTGTCTCTTGCTCGTGTTCCTTCACTCTTTCCTGAAGCGTTTTCTTTTCCACCTCACTCTTTTGCTTTGTAACTTCAGCCACATCATCATTTGCAACACATCTTTCACTAAGGCTTGTTATGGTTCTGTCTTTCCCCATGATGACTTGTTTGAGCTGGATGTTCTCCCTCTCAGCCTCCACTGATCTTCTGCCAATCTCTTCTTCATACTCTTTATTTTTCCTCTCCTTCGAGTCCCTCGCTGCTTTCAGAGCTTCTATCTTCTCATCTCTCTTATCTTTGGCAGTTTTAATCATCTCCTCTATTATCCTTTCCTTCTCTTCCAATGTTTGCCTCAGCATATCGCTTTCCCTTCTTTCCCTCTTAAGCTGCCTGGCTTTCTTTTTGGAGCTTTGAAGCAGCTTCCTGTTGCTTTCTTTGAGTTGTATAACACTGAGCAACAAGTGTTCATGATCATTTCCCACCTCTGTTTCCTCAATCTTCGCCAGCAGTTCTCGAACCTGAATGTCTTCAACCTTGTTTGAGTTATTGAAAACGTGATATCGATTCCCACATTTGTCCACCAACCACTGGAGGGCAGGCCATCTCTCAATGTGCTCCTCGATGGATGTGACTCCCAGTTTGTCTCCCCAAGTAAACAGCACAATGAATCGAGACCAACCCCCAACTCCAAGCAGGCTTAAATGCTCCTCTGCTTTCAACCGGTCCGTTTCAGTGAAAGTCTCATCGCTGCGTACGACCACCAGGACAGCATGGGGAGTGGGGGGACACAGAGATGCACTGTGAGTAATCTGCTGCTGTACTTCCTGTGGAGTGTCCTCTGAGCAGTATCTCCCATGCCAGCCAGGAGCCTCCACCAGAATGACTTGCTTCTCGTGAACATAACCCCTTCTCTCTGTGCACAGTGGTAATGGATGTTCAGCAGGAAATAATTTCACTCCAAGAATGGTGTTTCCAGCCGAGCTCTTCCCAACCTGCTTCGGTCCCACGATAAGAACTCGTAGTGTTGAAAACGGAGGAGACTCTCCTGGGTTTAATTACAAAAATGCAGGATTAAGGCAACAATAGAATCTTAAAGGGATCTCATGTTTGCATTCATTTTGAAAAAGTTGCATTGACAAAGGCAGGTGTGGGGTACCCTAACTCCTTAAAAACATTGAAAGCTTTGATTCAAATTGAACTATGCATACAATTCTGTAAATGTAACGTTATCTGGATAAATAACAACACTTCAGACTGCTAAACTCTAATAAACACAAATATCTACATTTTTCAAATTCTCCATCTGCAAAATCTGTTATTCTTCCTCCATTCAGCTTGTATGACAGTGCTGTAGTTTGTGGTATAAACCATGGAACCAGGAAAAACTACTTCATGTTGAAGATTACTACTTCAGCATGTATTTCTCAGGGTATCCAAGTCACATGCTCTCGAGGCCGCACCGAAACACAACTTTCTAAACCTGTAAGCGACACTGTAGTACACTGAAAAACAGAAACGTTGTCTTTATGTTATTTACTTAATATTATTGGTTTCAACTAACCTAATACAGTTATACATCTGTTGACATTGGGCAGTATAAACAAAATTAACTTAAAATAAAAGATATTGCTGGATTAAGTGATGCTCACCCATCAGAGATCTGATATTGTTTCTGGCCGTCTTCACATTCATTCGCCTCAGAATGGCCCTCTCTTCTACCTCGTTCCTTCCCTTTCCAGTTATTTTCAAGACTTCCTCATTTGAAGACACATAACCAACGCCCCCCGCCTTTATGTTTCCTGCAACCATTGCATCAATCTTCTCCCAAAGTTCTCCAACCTGAGTATCATCCTCTTCTCCCCAAACACTTGTGTCTAAAAGGTGGTATCTGCGTCCACACCTCTCCAGAGCGGCTTTGAGAAAGCTGTGTCTTTCTGAGTATTCCTCGACAGTCGTCCCCCTCAGCTTCTCACATCTGGTGAATATCACTATCGTGTTTCTCCACACTCTGTCATGAAGCAGCTCCAGAGGTCCCTCCACTGTCCACTCCCGGCCTCTGTGAGGGCTGATGGGTATTACCATGAGGAAGGCCTGAGGTCCTGGGTTGCACACGGCCATGCACGCTGCCATGTTGTCCTTCACTAGGCCGGGGTCTCGGACAGAGTAGTGGATCCACCTCTCGGGGCTGTTGACAACAATAACCGCACGGCCATCGTCCAGAACACCCTGTCTTCTGACACACATCTTCACGTCTCTGCTGATATCAAACATCTGTCGGCCGAGGATGGCGTTTCCTGTCAAACTCTTTTCCAGCCAGTCGTGCCCCAGGAGGACAATCCTGAGCTCCTGAAGACAGTGTTTGTCCCCTGGAATGAGACAGCATTATTCGGCAGCAGTGCACATGTCATTGTATCATAATCCATCTATGATGCAGACAGTACTAATGCTTGATTAAGTCCGCATTAATTAAATACAAATGTATAATGATATTTAAGGATTCAAAAGTATCCCAAGAAGTTTGAAAGAAATTGAAAGTTCATTGTGGACATTCTAAACACCAGTTAATGATAAACACACTGTGGTGGGATTTAAAGCTCCAGAAGCTACCTCTTTGAATGTGTTTTGAAAACGCTCTCAGCACTCAGAAAAAAAAGAAATTTGAGCAAGACAGGTGCTGAGGAGGCTCCTGATGCAACTGAAAGCCCCAGGACAGCTACTACAGACCTCGCTAATCTTAAAAAGTCGTTTCGTCAGGTTTGTGTTCTTGTTCTATATGGGCCATTCTACCGAATTGATGCAAAGTCAGGTTGGAACAGTTTTGAAATGTTGTATGTTTTTTTCCCAAAACTTTGTCCATATATATTTTGTACCATATCTAAATTACACATACCGTAAAGTAAGTTCTAGTAAAAGAACCGTACATTTTTATATTGTATTTTCAGACTGTATTGGAATGTTCTTCCTCTACCAAAAATGGTCACTACCGAAACATAGTGCATACACTGTAGTCGAAAAGTATTACACATATTTCTTGAGGGTTTTCACAATTAAATCAATGCAATTTAATTGTAATCAAATTTCAAAGTTCAATTTATACAATTCATAAAATTCTCAATGCAATTTTTCTTTGTAAAATGCATAATACTGATCATATTGATTCCAGAGTTGATGATTGTTGAAATTGAACATACATTAAACCGATCAGTATCATATCATTTTATTTGATAAGTCAATATACTTAATTTTTTACAAAACATCCAGTGTTTCGGTAGTGACCACAGTATTTTGTTCTCAAGGTTGTATCATATTCCCTCAACCTTATTGTTTAATCTTAACTCATAACATGCCTTATGTTGAAGTGTGAATGTTTGAAGCTACTGACCCAGAATCAGCACTTTAGTAACAGGCTGAAATAGAGGGGGATGAGGCTAGAACGCATGATCTGTTTGGTATTTTGTGCAAAACACTTCATAGACATGTTTTTTTATATATCTGAGACCTATAGTATATGCCTACAAATAGTATAATAAGATACTTTTAAAGTAACACACTGATTTTCAGACTTTAAAACACATTTATTTCAAAACTATGGGATTTACCTGCTTACCATTCAATTTTTTCACTACCGAAACGATCATGTAAATTACTGAAACGTAACCATATGTTTCGGTAGTGACTGCTTCAGTAGTGACGATTTGAGCTAAAATTGAGCATAACTAAATAATGCTAGCAAGTACATGGCTAGCATACACGTTTTTGAAGAGGTACATAAAAACCTAATACTTTGCATAAAACTTAAAATAATAACATACAATAAAAGTTTACTTAATTGAATTGATTGATTGAAAAGTTTATTAACAGCTTGTATATTGGGTACAGTACAGTACAGCTCAAAACATACAATTGTTAAGGGGATGCAGACCAGAGAAAGACTTTCGTCTTGTTTACATCAGGGTCCCCCATTTCCAATTCATCATGTCATATAAGACATATTTGTCATACAGATGGCTTATTTACAATTTACATACAGGTGGTTTTTTAACATACAGATTGCTTGTTTACAATTTTCATTTTAGATTTCGTTCTAATACATCCTAACCGGACGTTTAAGACATACCAAGTCTACAGATATACAGTTAGTAACAGAGTCTAAAATGCGAGTATATACATAGATGGGGGGGGAAGCTGTCCATTGAACGACAGGTTGAGATTTGTACCATTACCGGGGCCAGTTTTGCAATGCTCTCCCCCGAAGGTGCTCTTTAAGAGAGGTTTTGAAGGTAAGTATAGTTTTACTTTCCTTTACAGTTGTGGGAAGAGCGTTCCACCTTGATGTGGCATAATTGCGAAACGTGTATTCCCCCTTTTTTGTGCCAAATCTGGGTTTCACATGATTTGTGGAGCTTCCTCTGGTGTTATGATCATGGTATTCCTTGACCTTTGGGAAGAATTTTGACATGTACATGGGTACCATAGAGGTGTAGTGGATCTTGTAGACCAGGCCCATTGCAAGTAGCTGTACTCTGTCGTCTACTCTAAGCCATCCTAGGTTGTCAAAGTGGGCAGAGGTGAGGTGGGTTCTAGATGAAAGGTCAAGCAGTAGTCTGACCAGTTTATTTTTGCGATGTTTGAAGTTTTATTTTTAGCGCCTTGGAGGTGCTATGGTACCATGACGTGCAAGCATAGTCATAGTACCCTTGAATGAGTGCTCCTGCCAGAGTTTTCAGGGTGTTTTTGTTTACCAGAGAGGAGATCCGGTATAGGAATCTAGTTCTTTGATTGACTTTTTTTTTATTACATTGGATGCCATTTTGTCACAGGAGAGGTTTGCCTCAAGAATAGATCCTAGGTATGTAATTTCCTTCTTACTTGTGACAATAATGTCGCCCACTGCAACTGAGAAGTCGTCGGATTTGCTGAGATTATGTTTCGAACCGAAGAGAATGGACTCTGTTTTACCCAGGTGTAATGATAATTTATTATCGGCGAGCCAGGTGCAGATTCTGCCGAGCTCGGAGCTGAGGGTTTTTTCAACCTGCAACCTGTTCCTGTCAGAGACCAGCAGGGCTGAGTCGTCCGCGAACAGGAACAAGTTGCAGTCACATGCTGATGACATGTCATTTACATAAATTAGGAACAGTAACGGACCTAATATGCTTCCTTGTGGAACACCACAGCTCACTGGGAGGGGGGGGGACAGAGTACCGTTTACCTCCACCATCTGTTCTCTCCCCTCCAGGTAGGATTGCATCCAGCTCACCGATAGTTTATCAAAACTATAATGTGAAGATAATGTGTTCGGTAGTGACAATTCTTAAGGTTACACGCCGATTTTCAGATTTTGGAACAGATTTATATCAAAAGTATGGGATATAGCTACTTGCCATTCAGCTGCCTGCCTTGTCAAAAATGCAGGGGTGTGGCTAAAAACCAGGCACAGCCATTGGACTAAACCCCTTGTGTTTCGGTAGTGACATGAAAACTGGGGACATGATTTTTTGAGTATAGTTTTTTTATTAAAAAATTAAACCCACAATAAATATAAATATTCCAACTTCTGTTTGAATGTAATCATAAAGATCTTCTAAATACACCATTCAACAAAATACAATAACTTGTTTTAAGTGTTATTTACAGAACATGACATTTAGATGTCAGGGTTGGGGACAGCTACTTCCCAATAGAAAGTACCCTATAAATGATGTTTTAGTATATATTTAGCTTATCACTATATCATTGAATGCCATGTTTAAATAGACCATAACATATTCTTAGTAAATATCTATGTCTGAATAGTTAATTGTTTTGTTAAATAGTTTTTTGTTGTTGTGGGACCGCACTTTGCATCAATTCGGTAGAATGCCCCATGTACGATACACTTAAGGTCATATAACTGTCAAAAAGACATAATGTTATTCACACTAAGTGTTAAATGTAATAGCAGATTAAACAGCATACCTTTCTGGGACTGTGCTCGGCAGCTCACTGCTGCCCCTTCTTCCATCTTTTATTCTGTCAAATACACCACATTGCGGTCCTCAGTGTTCACCTCTGATTTAATGTTTGACTCGGCAAACATCCAAAGTCCAGCCAACCCTACCAGTCATATGACTCTGGAGAGATATCAGTATCAGATGTAATTATTACAAACCGTGAACACATTTCGAACAGTGTAATTACAATAAGTCGCCACTATATTAAATGCCAGTTTCTGAGTTAAGTGTGTCTTTACTGTTCCATTTAATTGCCCAGTTTTTTATTTGTTTGAATCCCTGAACTCAGCTGGCCTTCGTTAGGGACAGGCCCTTCGTTAGGGACAGGCCCTTTAATTATCTAAGCACAAAACTCTAGCTCGAAATAGATACTATAATTATTAAAATACTTAGTTTTTACCTGTGCTTTTCTCGCAGATCTTAGTTTATTTTTATTTTTGTGTACCAATCAAAATGTCTGAAGACATGAAATATGTCAGACTATTCTGATTTAAGAATAAAGATAAGCAGCATTTTATACATTACACTTTTAAGGAACAATAACAACTTTTTTGTATTCCAAACTTAGCTTTGGTCTGTGTCTAGTCATGAATACATAATGTTGTACAGAAAAACAACTTACAACTAACTTCTCAGGGGGCTTTAATGAAAGCACGTGAGGATATTTATGAAGCAAGTAGGCCTAGAGTAAAATAATCACACCTTCGAGGCTTCCTTAGAACACCTTTTTATTCAGATTCAGAGTTAATACCACAGCTGCTGTGGTGTCAGTCTGTAAAAGAGTCCCTGAGTCAGAAGTAACTCGGTTCAGTGACTGTGCAATAGTGCACATCATGCAAACATTAACTGACTACTGTAAGAAACCATAACTAATTACAAAGTTGTAAAAACGCTAGCATCATCTGTGACTCCAGCCTTCTGTCTGTAGCTTTAATTAGAAAGAGGCATTGCTGAAGGCTTTCACAGCTCCAAACCTGAAGGGTGAGCCAGTCTGGGCTCTAACATCTGCAGACCCCTTCCCAATCTGCAGACCCCTTCCCAATCTGCAGGACCCCTTCCCAATCTGCAGGACCCCCTCCCAAACTGCTCCCAGAGGCCAGCTGGCGTTACATCTCCTCCTGCTGTAGCTTTTCCATCAGGGGTACATTTGGTTGTAGCCTGAATGCAAGGCCTTTAAAACAACTATTGCAAAAAACTGTCACTGCAATTTCTAAAATCATACTCATAATTTACATTATGTACATAAGTTTACAGTCTCAACATCCAGTCACATTTCCATACAGCACACCCAAAATGTCCTCAGGGCATTTTATGGACAACTTTTCAATGTTCCATTCAGAAAGTCTACTTTAAAAGGAACAGCTCGTCCATCTCTACAATTTCTAGAAGTGATCACCATATGTACATATTTTCAGTTAAAACAGTATGTAGAGACTAAAACAGAAATCCTTTACCAGCCGTGGGACAAATAAAATATTTCGTATTCAGTTGGTTCATACTGTCACACTGCATCTTAATGGAAACGTGTGGCGTGTCATGATGAATGAAGGAGGGTGGATGTGAACGTGTTGCCTTGATGGAGTGAGAAATATGAAGCAGTGTGTGGATTCAGTTCCAGACCCTTCCCCTGTCATGAAGCTATATTGTATCTGAACTGCTTTGCAAACACAAAAATTCACACAAATCCAAATAAGTCAAAAGAGTAAAAGTTGCTTTGTGATGAAATCCTTTAATATTCTTAAGTGCTTTAATTGAAGAAAACATAAAAATAGCCTTAGAAAACAAAGAAAAGCTGACGCAAGAGGTGCCACTAACTCAATTATCTCTGACACCACTTAAAGACTTTTTAAATCTCAATTTGTAATGTTATTTAATTCCATCGGAGACCTCAGAAAAAAGATAAACAACAACCTTGTGTTAAACTTCTGATCTGAATAAAAAACCTTTTTCCAAATACTGATCAGGACTTCTCAGCATCTTTGAAATGAGTTGGAATTCTGATCAGATCTCTTGAGCAGGCCGTGATACTAAAGCTTTTAACAAATATTTGAGGTAAAGCAACTCAAATATCTCCTTGTAAAAAATGTTGATTATGAACAGAGCTCTTTGTGCATAGGAGCAGACTTTATCCAGTTGTTAAATCTTGAAAGTTAGATTGTAGAAGAAGCAGCAGGGCAACTAATCCCAGCAACCTGCTTGCTATACCGGAGGACTGTTTTTCTTCACTACCACAGGGGCTCATTTAGCTTCTACATTTTCACACAAAAATTAAGCAGCAGTGTCTATTAAGGCTTGCATGAAATCTGTCTGGGTTGACATAACGCTACAGAGAGAGGACGTACACAAGGTATTGCTGCTGAGGAGTGACAAATTAAAACTAAAATAAATGATTAACACTACAGGTGGCACAGGAGGGGAGGGGTGAGAGAGAGAGAGAGCAGAACACAAAATATCCCCTCCATGTCTTGCTACCATTGTTTTGGGGAAGAAATCCACTAATGTTACTGCAGCTGCCGATGTTTAATTTGTTGCAGTTTAATAGAACCAACTCTGGGAGGACCGATTTGTAAATTGTGAAATATTTAGAGCTGTGCACCGACATTGGCTACGATGTTGGGAGTAAACAGAGCTGCCTGCCCATGGAGTGTAAGCAAGCAGCTTTGTTTAACTGATAAACGATGTACAGGAACGGGGACGCCCTTTAACGGACCAACAGCTTTTCACTTGAAAGAATAACAAGGGTTTTATTTGCTCATTGGCATTGGTAATCAAACCCAATGAATCCACACTGCTCCTCCATGCCCTGTGATGGCAGGGAGAGGATGAATATTCAGCCAGAGCGCAGAGGTAAGAAATGGGTGCTGTTTTAAAGGGGTGGCGAATAAGCAATCCCTCGCCTGAGCAAGCTTGATTTAAGGCAAAGGTTAAAACATCAGTACTGCGACGCTACATGTAGACAGCTGACCTTTTCTGGACCGGGGATTGGTCGATTGAACTGCTTCAGTGTTTCGACTGGGTTTGCTGGTTGATTCAACGTCACATTTAGGGGGTAAGAAATCGTCAAAATGATAAACAACATACATGCGATGTCCTATTAAGTAAGTCAAATAGGAACCGAGATGGGAAAATTAATAATAATGTGTCGGGGTGACTCCGTGTGTGTTGTTGGTGAGGGCGACGCATGAGACCTGTAACAGATGGCAGGTGTCCTTGATGAGGACAGATTTCACATTGGGAGCCCTTGGGGAGATGATGTTGGACAATACAGGTGAGGTGATGTTGTTGGTGGTGCTTAAAGTAATTAAAATATTGAAAAACTCAAGAGCAAGGTCCCTCTCCAAAAACAGAAATGTGCTTACTACTTGGATGATCCAACAATATGGTCAGTTTTCACTACCAACTTAGGTAATGATGAACATATTCAGAAATGATCCAAAGTAATAGACTTATATTCTGAAAGACACATTGCTGTTGAAGTTTTTCAAATGTACTTTGCAATGATTTGAGCAAAATGGACCTCCCTGCATTGTATTGGATTGGCCCATACAATGAAACCTATCTGCATGGCTTGATACCTGGAGGTTAACAGGTACTCGTTCTGTGATTCGGGTGAAATGACTCTTTAAGATAAAGGAGAACAGGCTGGGCCTCAAGGCACCAGTTCTGATTACAAGTCCCAGTGGGTGAGGAAAAGAGTGATGTACGCTGCTGCAGAAACACACTGCCCCTCGGTGGTTAAGATTAAAAAGATCAGATACAGATCGGCTTGTGGTCTTTGGGCAATAAGAATGAGCCCCTCCCTGATTGGCTGATGACTGACAGGAAGTGGAGAGCAGGAAATGTGACCTCACACAGGTTAGGAGCTTAACCCTGAGTGTTAGCGGGATCTTAAAGGACATGGATGAGGGATTAAGAAAGAAACAAGGGGAATATAGTGCTGCATCTCCCCCTCCTCATGTTCTGTACACCAGAGAGCGTGAAGCCCACACTGTCCATGCTCTCTCTCACTAGTGCCATTAGTATTTCTATCTCTGGGCTCTATTATGTTTTCACAGCTGGGTCTCCTCCCTAGCCTGCCAACTGACTCAACAGAAGGAGGAGAATGGAGGCGGGCAGGGGTTAGACGCCGCAGGGTGACCGCACACGGAGGAGGGTGACACTTTAGTTTTCTTTCTTGGCCTCCGGGTTGCCGTAACTGGAGCCTGTTTTCTTCACCTCGGTGACCCCTATGAGGCGGCGGATAGCTATCGAGGCTGGGGAGAGAACAGAGGAGAACAGAGGAGACCAGAGTGAGGACAGCGATTCTAAGATTAAACAACACGGTGCTTTTATTACTTCTCTTTCAGGTAAAGTCAGAGAGGCATTGCCTATTGCTCAGTCCACAAAAGGAAGCAGCGTTGCTTCTACAGGCCACTGATGCAGAGTTTGCCTACCTATGATGAGGAAGATGATGAAGCCAATGATGAGGAGCGGGGAGCCACTGACAGCCACTCCATAAGCAAAGTTGATGAGGGGCGAAAGCAGCACGGTGGCCCAGAACAGGAAGTTCAGCAGCGTCCATGGCCGGCGTTTAGGAGTGATTGTGGGTCCGGGGAACTTGCCTTCCTTTTTGTAGCTTTCCTGTAAGGCATCCTGAGCAGGAGAGGAAGAAGAATTGGTTTGCACTTTATAATTTAATCATGCATGACATGTCGAGCATAGCTACCCACCTTATTCATACATTAAACTCTATAGGCTGTAATACATTATGTGAATCAGAAAACCGCTTGTATTGTAACTACATATCTGAATGAAGCCGTGCATTATACATTTTGATTACTGAATCTGCCTTTAATGTCAGCTTTCTTTACCTTCTCCTGGTAGAGCTTGTGCAGCCAGATGGCACACTCTTTCTCATCATCGGGTATGTCCTCCACCGGAAACCGCCTGGGTTGGAAAGAGACAAACACAAGGCGTCTTAAACTGGGAGCAGTTGTTAAGATTCTTTAAACTTAGGATAAGTATTTGAGTATATCCAATATTTATAGATTTGTTTTTCCCCCTGACAGTCAGAAATTGGATTTGCACACCTCACAATTTTAACACGGTCTCTTTTTTTCTACCTTCATTCATAATTTCTCCTGTTCACACATATCCACATTATCAACACCAGCAATCTGAAACGCACCTAACTTGTGACTGTGTGCCCAGCAAAAGAAAATAAATCATGAACTACCACCTTAATAGTACCATTTGTAAATGAAAGAATACCGACACTATCCATAGGCACTGCAACCTCAAACAAACAATAATGTTAAACATTTTTAACCAGATGCCGTTATCAAATCATAATATAATGGACAATAGGATTTAATGAAACATTTCATGGTCAAACTTGTCCTCTCAGAGTGCAACAGAAAAGATTTCATGTTAATAAAACAAATGACTTGTGGCCTGTTGTGGCAGTTTCTCCCCACCAGGTGGCTCCCTCACATTACACTTGCATCATAGATCATCTATTTTGGTGCTGGGGGATTTCTTTAAACACTTGTATGTTTAACTGATTCTGGTCTAGTCAACCATGTTAGTAAAAAGATATTTAAACGTTCCTTTATTTAATTGAGTTAAAGAAGAAACAGTTTGCTTTTTAATATAGTTTTGCAGTTCAGGCAAGGAGACAAAAGACCCTCTTCCCTCAGCCTTTTCAGCATGAGCTATCGGTCAGCTCTTCACTCGGTAGGATTCTCCTTCCAATTACAGTTATTGTTCTGAAACCAGCCAACATTTTTCAGGGCTCTCACTGTGTGTTTCATTGTTAGAGGACAAAAAGGCAGTCAGTAGGGGCCCAAACGTTTGGAAAAGACTCATCATTTCAGTTGAAAAATAAATGTAATAGATCATTATAATGATGAGTGATTATTAAAAATGGTACCTGTGACACTCACCTTACACTCAGGTCAGCTTTGTATTTCTTGCCGCTGACGATGCCCAGGAGAGTGGGGGTTTGGTTGTCTTTGAAGTTGAGAGTCACATCATACACAGCAGTTACTGTGAGAGAGGAGAACACAGATTTAGAATAAAAGTCTTGTGTGAATCCAGCATGACAAACTGTGTGTTATTGTTCACACTACCTGTGCCCTTAAGACACTGCAGGGTGGTGGTGAATCCTTTGGTTCGGGGCAGTAGGTGGTATTTGAGTTTGGGCAGGCCTTTGCTCTCTGCAACCTGCATACTGATTTGGTGCTTGGCCTCTGTGAAGCGGGTGCCCTCGCAATACAGCAGAAACTGTGGAGATAAAAGAGCTATGTTAACACATGCAGACACACAGACACCTATAAAAACAAATTACCCACTGGAGGTGACCTATTTTCTCTTGTCCCATTCTTACATCTGTTCTTGTATATCGTATTCTATTTACATGTGCATAGGATCCTGCATTTACTTGGTCACTTTCAACATTCTCTGCATCATTTAGCTTATTGTATTAATTTTTTTATTTTGTCTTATGTCCTATACATAATATGTTGCATTGTTGGAGGTGCTTGGGACTTAAGATTGTCATTGCCATAACTACAATGTGGCTACTGTGCACATGACGATAAAACCCTTGAATCTTTGACCTACTTCTGCTTGATTACAGATCAAGTTCACCTCAGTGTAACAAAATGCTGAAATAAAGTCAGCATCTTATCTCAATAGGCAGGTGGATGCTAACTGTACCTAAGGGTGGTTGCAAATAACATCACTGTCGTTATCGCTTAATGTAGTCCAGTCTAGTGTCAAACTGAGAAAATGTCCTTCCCAGTCTGTTTTGAAGTCAGTCCAAAACGCAAAGATATTGAATTGAATGTAAAATACAGAAAAGGCAGATAATATTCATATTGGAGAGGCTCAAACAGTTTCGCACTAAAATAAAATATGATTAAACAATTATCAAAATAGTTGGCGATGATATCTCAATCTGACGCTTTATGGGTTTGCCGACCAATTGCCCTGGTGTTTACTTAATCTGGACACAAAAGCTGTCATGAGAAGTAGCCTAATGCCGGAATTGAGGGGTAATTAGATCAACAGCTGATCTGCCTAATCTCAGCAGGTTAACTGGTTGAGTCATGGTGAATATCTGTATGAAGGTGCTGAACCAGAGGCCATGAATGTAGGCCACTTGCATGTTCAAACGGTTCAACGTTTTTTCCTCAGAAAGCAGAGTGAAAGCCTCCTCAGGCTGTTTGTGCACAGTGGAAAGCCCGGTTCAGGAAGTTTCACAGAGAAAAAAAACACACATCCAGCTGGTGCACTCAGAGAACTGAGTGGTAACCTCCTCTGATGTATCTTCCTACACTAAGAGAGACTGGGTCAAAGGGCAGCATCTAGATTTTGTATAGGCAGAGTATTTTCTTCCAACCAAAACTAAAGAATACTTAAGACATTTATTATGAAATTTCTGTTTATCAAAATGTGGATCTTTTTTTATTATTTTTTACTGTTGTCACTATTGGTAGTAATAACACTGTTATCAGCTGAGATCTGGGAAGCTGTCACACAATAGTGCAGGTTTGAGTTTTGACCCACACACATACTGATCTAATATGTGTTACTTCCCCCATGAAATGTATCTGATGAAAATGGAAATTGAAGTGTGATTTATTTCGTATTGCATTTTGGAGATGGAGGAGATATTTCCCAAAATAATTAATTTGTGTATGGTTTGACTGAACATTTTATTTTGAATATTTTAGTATATTATTTCTCAGTCCTGATTCTACAAAGTTTAAGGTATTCTATATAGTTTGTTCAATGTTATCTGACTCTCCAGATATGATGAAAGGCAGACCTGTGTTGTTAGAGTTGTTCACGAGTGGCTTATATTTAGTTACATTGTGATTTGAAAAATAAAGATAATTGTTATACAACAGCGTATTTGTATGTTTTTCTATGTTTAAAACATTTCAGAATGGAGTATTGGTATATTCACATTATCAAAACTGTCCCTCATTGAAAAAAGTGTGGATCCCCCCTGGCTTATAGGTTGGGTTTACGGTTGACCTATGACCTGCTATACTTGCGCCAATACATTTCTGACCCATAAGGGATTATTACTCAACGCATGTTATAACACTGCCTTACTTAGTTTTAGCAATTTGCTGAGTGAGAGCAACAATCCTCAACAGAAAAAGTGATGACTTATCTACAACAATGAGAGGTATAATAAAATGTAATGTTTCCTTTAGATAATTCAAACACTCTATCCTATATTTTACTGAGATGATTAACTCGAGTATCTTTTTCTAAGAGGAATGTTTTGAGACTGGGCTAGAGTTCACCGATTGCACAAGCATATGATGTGGTATTTATGCAAATGAGTGTGTTGTAACATGGAATGGATTCCAAGGCCACGTTTACACAGAGACGAAAACAAACCTTAGTCGATATCAAAAAAGTCTTCCGTCCACATGGAATCGGCTCAAGATACGTGTCCGTCCACACGAGACCGCTCGACCCGGTGGAGACGCTGTAGTACATATGCCGGGTGGCGCCACAAAATACACCAAAAGCAGCGAAGAAGACCCCCCGAGCATAGTTGCCATGGTTGCCCTTCTGTTTATTCTCCGCGGTGGATTTAGCAACATGTAGTTCTCCATGTCCACTTGTTGCTGATGGTTGTGGTAGAGGAGCTGTAGCGTCTGGAGCACGAAAGCAACCCTGTGATCCGCCGTTGTTGTTGTTGGCGAAACACGCGGGTGACGCCGTGGTAAGCAGCAGAGGTGGGGAGAGGCGGGGCTATAGCTTCATCGTTATCAGGAAATGATCGTATAGGACGTACACACGGAGCCGCTTGGCCCCCCAGAGCGTTTCGTCCGCAGATCTACCCACTTTGGGACCCGTTACCGTTTGAGGGCTCCGTTTCCGCGGTTCCGTTACGGCCTCGTGTGGAAGAACCGTCCATACGATAGAGAACTGTAGCGGATACAACCCATTTCGTCTCTGTGTAAACGTGGCCTAAGCAAACTGCTAAACCGTCTTATTATTACACACAAACACACACAGGAAGTAAGTCTGATGTGTACTTACCCACATATATTCAGGATAGTCTTTGAGCCTATTCAGTGAACTGAAGACAGTCTTCCGGTCCTCTTCCCACTTTCTTTTGCAGAAGACTATTTCTAGGAAGTACCAGGTCCAGCCAATCAGAGGAACCTTCAGTAACTCGTGTTTGGCTAGCACTTTTGAACTCTAGAGAGGGGGGACAGGTAGACGTGTATAATGACAAAGGTTTGATTTCTCGCCATCAGGAGTAGAGAAGAACTTCATCTTGAAGAGCATCATCTGAGATGACAAGTAACTAAATCAACAACAAATTCAGTTCCTTTTTGCGACAGTACTGACCCCTAGGATGCCATATCTTTCACACATAGTCCAGCCACACAGGAAGTCAATCTCATAGTTGTGGTTGAGGATGGTGATTACATGCTCTTTGCCAAACTTGTCCACCGTAGCTTGGTCGGTGTATAGTGTGCATTCTGTGCCCGACCACCACTCCAGCAGCATCACCAGCTCTGCACAGAAAACAACACATCATGCGGGGCACTGGGAATGTTCAAACAACACTTCATCATTTATAGGATTGACGATGAGAACTAAGTACAAGTTCAAAGCATTTTCCTCTTAATAAATGTCAGGGTTGCTCCTCAGTTTTGCTGATTAACACAACAGTGTTCAATGCCACATATTATTTCCTCATCATGAGATATCAGAACACTGCAGCTGTATGGAGCTATTTTGGTAGATGTAATGTTTGAGCCTCAGCTGCTCCCATTAACCCGCATGAGCAGCCATCTGCCCCACACCAGACAACAGCCAGCCATAGCTACTTACTATAGCAGCTATTAGGGGTTGCACTGTAATTCATAAGTTTGAGCCTTTGGACAACAATACATTTTTCGCTGAAAACTAAATCTTCCATGATACACTTTGGATTTAACTTGAATCTCAGGCCTATATCTTACGCAACATGCTTATTTAACAAAATATCTCGCCTGTACACAACGCTAAGCCATTAGCACCAATTGCTAACGACGCCAGGACTGTTTTAATTTAAGAATGAGGTGCACTTGGACAGAAATGGTGAAACAGACGTGACAAGGTAAGGTCAAAATAAAGGCCTATCTTGAAGAAGTTGATGTGTATCGATGTTTTCACTTTGCATTGATTTTCATTGATCTGGAGATTTATCTCAGAGCTAAAAGGAATAGAATTGTTGACATGAATTCAGCAGGTTGCCAAGCCAAGTGTCCCAAAGAACCTGGTGCTTTATCTTGTTTACACTATTTTCAAAGAATAACATAACTCTTAGCAACAAAAAAGGAGTATGATGTACTCACGACTCCAGAGGGAGTAGGCGAGCCGGCAGTTGATTATGCGATAGAGCCGTTTGTTGATGGGCCAGAGGATGCAGGTGCAGAGCTGAATGAAGTTTATGATGAGGCCGCTCACCACGAACACAAAGCCCATCAGCAGCTGCAGGATGAACAGGCTCTTCAGGTAGGCCAGCAGCGCCATGGCTGAGGAGCCTGGAGAGCTGAGTGGGCTCCTTTCTATACACCACGACCAACCTGAGAGAGGGCGGAAATAGAGGAGGGAAGGCAGAGCCAAAGCAATGAACCTTACTGACAGACGGTATAAATAATGGATCCTGGTTCACTACATTTTCTGCAGGCAATATTGCATTCAGTAATAAAAAAACTAACAGTCTTTCTTACCACGGTGGGATCCTTTTACAAGCCGCGTTTACACGGTCCGTCAGCCAATACTACAGACCTGATGGAGACAGAGAAAACAGAGGATGAGCCAATAGTGAAGGAAGTCAAATGAAACGCAACAGTACAGTGCCATTACAGTAGAGTTGAATTAAGTGCATGTATCATCAAACAGGTGGTTGATACAGACAAGAGGACGCCAGAAACAGCTGATGTCGTTCTGAGTGTGGTCAAGGTGGTTAAAAAAAAACAGAAGCCAGATGCTGGGTTAAACTGTGGCACACGGCAGGTGGGGTAATGTGCTATTTTAACACACGCATTGCATGTTGGATTGTCAAAGAGCATTGTTACTCAGTTTAGATTTATTGTGGCCGTACTCAGCCTGACCTTTCACAAGGGTGAAGTGATAGAAATGACATTATATGCCACATTTTACACAGAACTACGCATTTCAATGAAAAGCGATACTTGAATACAGCCATCATAGTATGGTGACAAAAGGTTGATCACATTTCAGCTTTAGGGTTTATAGTTTATAGTTGTAAAAAATGAAGCAAAGATCTTAGAAACTAATTCTCAATTCCCTATGCTATACTGAGTTGGTATATCAAGGCATTTCTTTTTATAAATAATAGGTATGAGTTATATAAAGTCTCATCTATTCCGATGTGAGAGAGCTTTTCTCCGTTTATATTATTTTAAGTTGACTGTTGATAAGACAGAACAATAAAATAATTGTCGGGGCTTTTGCGAGTTTATTTCGGGAGATTCACTTTCCTCCAAAAGGTAAGTTAACACATTTATATGCCCCTACTAGGCATGTTTTTCCAACATACCAATGCAACACACATGAAATATTTCTACCATCTTTCTCTGCAGAACACGAAAGGCTCCACTCCTCCATGACACAATAAGATGAAGCAGGTATGGAGATGAATGGACAGGAAAAGATGGATCTG